ATTGTCAAATCTTGCCACGGTGTTTCCGCTGCGCCGCTTTTTAATTTAGCGAAGCGCTCTGGGCGGGGGTGGGCAGCGGGGCGAATCCATTCTCCGTGCGCCGTTGGCGAGAACCAACAGAGCCAGTGGCCCTAGGCCTCCTTTTCACAGTCAGCTCGGCACCACGAGGACTGCTCAGGGTACTTCTCCTGTCCCCGATTATTACTCTACCGCGAGTACATTCGTTCTTCCTTGACATTTGGGAATGTTTGGCCACCCACAAGGAGAGAACTCCTGCAGGAAGAGGGCGTTCAGGAAACCAGTGGGGTGGAGAAGCAGGGACTGGTAACAGGGAAGCGAAAATGTCTCCGAAAGAAGCCGAGTCCAGCCAAAACAGGCTGGACCACAGTGGACGCTCGGCTCCGATGTAGCCAGAAATGCCCACTCATTATGGCTGGGTCTGAGCTGAGCTGCCTCAGCAACAGTGCCAGAGTCACCCAGGCTTTAATCTGCAGCTCGGGTTGCCAGAGGAGCTGCGGTGGCTCAAGTGGTTAAGACGCTGAACTGCAGGCTGTGGAAGGTCAGTAGTTCAGCAGTTCGAGACCCGAGTGTGCCGCGTGACGGAGTGAGCTCCCGTCTCTAGTCCAGCTCCTGCCAACCGAGCAGTTCGAAAGCAAGAAATTGCAAGTAGATAAATAGGTACCACTTCGGTGGGAAGGTCACAGCGTTCCGTGCGCCTTGCTGTTTAGTCATGCCAGCCACATGACCACGGAAACGTCTTCGGACAGCGCTGGCTCTTCGGCTTTGTAACGGAGATGAGCACCGCAACCCTAGAGTCGGACTCGACTGGCTTTCGAGCAAGGGAGCCTTTACCTTTTTAGGATTGCCAAAGGAGCTGCGGTGGCTCAAGTGGTTAAGACGCTGAACTGCAGGCTGTGGAAGGTCAGTAGTTCAGCAGTTCGAGACCCAAGTTGCCGCATGACGGAGTGAGCTCCTGTCTCTGGTTCCGGCTCCTGCCAACCTAGCAGTTCGAAAGCAAGAAATTGCAAGTAGATAAATAGGTACCACTTTGGTGGGACGGTAACAGCGTTCCGTGCACCTCGGTGTTTAGTCATGCCGGCCACATGACCACGGAAACGTCTTCGGACAGCGCTGGCTCTTCAGCTTTGAAATGGAGATGAGCACCGCAACCCTAGAGTCGGACTCAACTGGCTTTCGAGCAAGGGAACCTTTAGGGTTGCCAAGCTCCAGGAGTGGCCTGGAGTCGGCTCGCTGTACTGGTGTAGCTTTCCCAGGAGGTGTGGGCAGGGTCCAGCAGGGCATGTCACAGGCAAGGGTGCAGAGAGTAACCAAAGTCCAGTCCAAAAGTCAGTGCTTCCAGAGAGCAGGTTTACCAAAGCCCAGCCGTGGGTCGAGGAGTTCCAGGCAGCAAGTCCAATCTGAGGTCAGGGGTTCCAGAAAAGCCAGTTGTCAGGTCCATTTTGAGGTTCATGTTTGCAGAGGTCCAGGAGCAGCAAGGTTGGCCCAGTAGCAAAGTGCACTTGCTGCATCCCCAAACTGCTGCTTCTCCCGGCTGAATGTATAGCCAAGTCTTAATGAGCTAAGCTCCCAGCCAGTTCCTTGGCAGTTGTCCTAAATCTACCCATTCATCTCTTCAGTTGACAGCTGATGACGGGCCATGAGTCCCGCACTTCTCCTCCTTTCTTGCAACCCTAAGGCATCTCTGACAGCATCAGCACTGCAAGGGTCTTTCTTGCAACCCTAAGGGTCTCTGACAGCGTCGGCACTGCAAGGATGTGGGTGAGCTAGGTGGGCTGGGAGTGGCTGCTGAAGACTCGTTTACTGCTTCAGAGCTACAAGGTGTTGGCTCAGTTTCAGCTGTAGGCTGTGACTCCTGGTCAGCCGGTAACCTGGTCTCTTGTTGTTCTCCTTCTGGCTCAGAGCCAGCTGCGGCTGGCTGCTCAGTTACCAGCCCAGGGCTAGCAGGTTGCACTTCGTCTGCGCAATCTGAGCCAAGAAATTTGCACTTCGTCTTGAGAAATCTGAGCCAAGAAATCTAATCAAGAGGCTCTGTGTGTGACTTTGCTTCTTCTCAGCACATACCAGCCAGATAGACTCTGCTGTGTTATGTGCCTTGAGCACTCTGCTAACCCAAACAATCATTCAAGTGCATCTGTTTGGCATACAGAAGGTCCCAGGTTCAATCCCTGGGGGTCTCTAGTTGCAAGGACCAGGCAGGAGGTGATGTGAAACACGTCTGCCTGAGACCCTGGAGAGCTGTAAAGAGGGGCTGTGGCTCAGTGGAAAAGCATCTGCTTGGCATGCAGAAGGTCCCAGGTTCAATCCCCAGCATATCCAGTTAAAAGGACCAGGTGAAAGACCTCCAGCTGAGACCCTGGAGAGCTGTACAGAGGGGCTGTGGCTCAGCGGCAGATCATCTGCTTGGCATGCAGAGGGTCCCAGGTTCAATCCCTGGCATCTCCAGTTAAAAGGACCAGGCAATAGGTGATGGGAAAGACCTCTGCCCGAGACCCTGGAGAGCTGTAAAGAAGGGTTGTGGCTTAGTGGAAGAGCATCTGCTTGGCATGCAGAAGGTCCCAGGTTCAATCCCCAGCATCTCTAGTTAAAAGGACCAGGTAGGAGGTGATGGGAAAGACCTCAGCCTGAGACCCTGGAGAGCTGCTGCCAGTCTGAGTAGAAATTCTGAGTAGAAATTTTTCCTGCCTTCTACCTACAGTCAAACAGAGACTCTCCTTCTATAGCTTTCTCTCCCCCCCCCCCCCCCGGTTGTGCTGGAATGGGTTAGCAGGTCTTGTGCATCAAACCGGGCCAGGATTGGTAGCACACACAGTGCGCACATGTTCTCCTAAGCTGCTTAGGCGGACTGAATCATTCTGTAGTGTGTGTGTGTTTGTTTCTCTGTGTGTGGAGCTAGTTAGGAAGGCAGGGCCAGAGGAGTTAGCTCACAATGCCCTCTGGTGGAAATCTATTCAGGTAGAGCACACCTGTGCATTTCAGATTCAAAGAACGGTGCGTTTCCACTGCAGGGCATCTTTTAATGTGAGTTTTATTAAGGCTTTTATACATGAAATAAAAAAGAAGGGGGGGAAAGGAAGAGTAAAAGTAACACAAGAAGAAATGCAAACTAACAGATCGACTAACGCAAACTGAAAGCAAGAAAAAAAAAAGGAATAATATCTGATTTTCTCTGCTACAGGAATCCATCTGCTTACTTATTACCACCTTAGTCCAAAGTCAGACCAAGGGCACATCCGAAGTCAGACCAAGGGCACCGGAGGGCATTTCGCATATCTACATCTTGACCTTGATGGCTTGAGGCTAGCCCGATCTTGTCAGGTCTCAGAAGCTAAGCAGGGGCGTAGTATTTGGATAGTATTTGGATGGGAGACCACCAAGGAAGTCCAGGGTTGCTATGCAGAGGCAGGCAATGGCAAACCACTTCTGTCCATCTCTGGCCTTGCAAACCCCATGGGGGTTGCCATGAGGAGGAGGAGGAGAGATTGGATTTATACCGTGCCCTTCACTCTGAGTCTCAGCGCGGCTTACACACTCCTTTCCCTTCCCCTCCCCACAACAGACACCCTGTGAGGGAGGTGGGGCTGAGAGAGCTCTTTCGAGGAGTGCTCTTGAGAGAACAGCTCTGACAGAGCTTGTGACTGGCCCAAGGTCACACCAGCAGCTGCAAGCCCGGTTCTCCCAGATTAGCATCCACACACTTAACCACTAGACCAAACTGGCTTTCCAGGTCTCCACTTCTCCGTTTTGTCTTCACAACAGCAATCCTGTGAGGTGGGGTTAGGCTGAGAGTATATAACTGGCCTAGCATCACCCAGCGAGCTTCCATGGCGGAGATTTGATCCCGGTTTTTGCAGGTCCTAACCTGACACTGTAACCATGAAGCCACGCTGGCCATTGGTTCATCTCGTTAGCTATCACCCATTCACCTGGCAGGCCATCTTCCCAAATTGTGGTCCTTGAGATCCAATTTTAACTAGACGGGTTGTGGACAGAAGGTGTGACCACCCCAAAGCTGCTCTTCCCGTCTCCCACATGTAGAGTTTCTGAGCATTGGCCTCTGGGTAGGTTTTGTATCTGCTACAGGAAACAAGAGTGGAATGAACAGGAGTCACATCTTAAGAACATAAGAACATAAGAGATGCCAATGTTGGATCAGGCCAAAGGCCCATCTAGTCCAACACTCTGTCAAACAGTGGCCAAAAATACCAGGTGCCATCAGGAGGTCCGCCAGTGGGGCCAGGACACTAGAAGCCCTCCCACTGTTGACCCCCCCAAGCACCAAGATGACAGAGCATCACTTGCCCCAGAGTCCCTATCTATACCTTGTGGCTAATAGCCACTGATGGACCTCTGCTCCATATGCCTATCTAATTCCCTTTTGAAGCCGTCCATGCTTGTAGCTGCCACCACCTCCTGTGGCAGTGAATCTCATGTGTTAATCACTCTTTGGGTGAAGAAGTACTTCCTTTTATCCGTTCTAACCCGACCGCTCAGCAATTTCATGGAGTGCCCACAAGGAGTTCTTGTACTGTGAGAAAGGGAGAAAAGTACCTCTTTCTCTACCTGTTCTTTCCCATGCATAATCTTTTAAACCTCAATCATGTCACCCCTCAGTCGTCTTTTCTCCAAGCTAAAGAGCCCTAAGCGCTTTAACCTTTCCTCATAGGGAAAGTGTTCCGACCCTTTCTGGGCGTTCCATCTTCTGGGCGTTAACAGGGGTCGCTGGGGGTGTGGCGGGGGAGCTATTTGTGAATTTCCTGCATTGTGCAGAGGGTTGGACTAGATGACCCTGGAGGTCCCTTCCAACTCTATGATTCTATGTATTCTGGCATGTTTTCGTGAGTCAGAGCTCACGCTGTAATGCAGTTTGCTGGTTTCCTACGGTGCTGCCCGACTCCTGTTTAGTTTCGCCCTTTAAAAATATGACTGGCGTGGATCTGCTTCCTTAAACTCGTCTTCTTCTTTCTCCATCTCTCCTGCAGGACTGATTGTCTACTTGGGCATGATGCTGGGTGCCGTTTTGTGGGGCGGCCTGGCTGACAAACTGGGCCGGAAGCACTGTCTCATCATCTCCCTCTCCATCAATGCTGCCTTTGCGTTCCTCTCCTCCTTTGTGCAGGGCTATGGATTCTTCCTCTTCTGCCGCCTTATCTCTGGTTTCGGGTGGGTATGGTGTTCTCCTTGGGAAAGGCCTGGACTCTGTCTCCTTAAGGGGAAAGCTGCCAAGATTTGACATCTCCATAGAGTTGAGAGCAACATTCTCTCAGCAAATGCTGGGAGGTGTTGAGGGTGGTGCTTGGGGAGGAGAGAGATTTTGGAGGATGTGATGTCACCTTCCAGGTGACGCTCTAGGAATTTCCCCTTATCTCTGTGGTAAGGACCATAAGGAAATGGGGAAACTCCTAGAGCGTCACTATGGAGGCCATTTTCTGGCCATTTTTTTCCTCCCTGGTTTCCTGAGGGTGGGGGATTGGGGTTGAGGGCAGAGGTTGACTTCCTGTGGGGAGGCAAATGGCAGGCCTGCATTCAGGCCCAGTTAATTTTTAAAAAATAATTATTTTGTGCTAAGGTTCTTTTAAACTATGGTGCTGGAGAAGACTCTTGAGAGTCCCTTGGAATACAAAAAGATCAAATCAGTCAATCCTAAAAGAAATCAACCCTGACTGTTCCCTGGAAGGCCAGTTAATGAAACTGAAGCTCAAATACTTTGGCCACCCAATGAGAAGGGAGCACTCACTGGAGAAGACCCTGATGCTGGGAAAGACTGAAGGTCAAAGAAGACGGGGACGGCAAAGGATGAGATGGTTAGACAGTGTCATAGATGCAACGAACATGAAGTTGAGCCAACTTCAGAGGACGGCGGAAGACCGGAAGGCCTGGCGTGATCTGGTCCATGGGGTCGCGAAGAGTCGGACTCGACTGTGCGTCTGAACAACAAAAAAGGTTCTAAATATTGCCTCCAAAACCTGAGTTTTGTTCTATTTGAGGTACGAAGGGTTGCCTGAATTGGAATGCAGTTGTTGCGAATGCATCTGTCATTTTGAGCCCTGGAACTTATGGAGTGAGATGTTTAAATACATTGGCACCCTGTGCTGCTCTGAAATGCCTCCAGACTCAGGGGAGGGGTTTGGCTCAGTGGAAAAGCCTCTCTTTTTGCAGGTAAAAGGTCCCAGGTTCAATCCCCGGCATCGTCAGTTAAAGGGACCAGGCAGTGGGCAATGTGAAATACTTCTGCCTAAGATCCTGGAGAGCGGCTGCCAGTCTGAGTAGGCAATACTGACCTGGACCAGGGTCTGATTCAGTATGAGGCAGCTTTCCTGTGTGTTCAGACTCTGCCAAGGGAACCCCAGTTTCGGTGCTCAGTAATGAAAACGTCTGCTACCAGAGTAAAATATGCAAATCCAACAGGCACATTAAGTTTCCTCACTTGGAATAGTCTCTTTTGCTTCTGCTAGGGATTCCGAAAAGGCATAGAACACACTCTCCTCTGTCTCTGATTCGATGTCCTTATTAACCCCCTCTGGCTTCCGAGTTTTCATCAGGCACTGTCCCGTTGTGTTCACTTTTGCAGTAATAAGGACTAGTAACTTGCTTCCTTTTCAAAGTGAAGCATTTGATTCTCTGGATGCCAAGTTCCACATCTGTTCTATGGAATACTCAAAGGTAAGAAAATAAGAACATAAGAGAAGCCAATGTTGGATCAGGCCAATGGCCCACCCAGTCCAACACTCTGTGTCACACAGTGGCCAAAACCCATCCACCAGTGGGGCCAGAACTCCAGAAGTCCTCCCACTGTGGCCCCCCAAGCAGCAAGAATACAGAGCATCACTGACCCAGACAGAGTGCTTCCTCTATACCTTGTGGCTAATAGCCACTAATGGACCTCTGCTCCATATAAGAACATAAGAGAAGCCATGTTGGATCAGGCCAGTGGCCCATCCAGTCCAACACTCTGTGTCACACAGTGGCCAAGAATACCCAGGTGCCATCAGGAGGTCCAGCAGTGGGGCCAGGACACTAGAAGCCCTCCCACTGTGGCCCCCCAAGCAGCAAGAATACAGAGCATCACTGCCCCAGACAGAGTGCTTCCTCTATACCTTGTGGCTAATAGCCACTAATGGACCTCTGCTCCATATAAGAACATGAGAGAAGCGTTGGATCAGGTCAATGGCCCATCCAGTCCAACACTCTGTGTCACACAGTGGCCAAAACCCAGGTGCCATCAGGAGGTCCAGCAGTGGGACCAGAACTCCAGAAGCCCTCCCACTGCGGCCCCCCAAGCACCAAGAAGACAGAGCATCACTGCCCCAGATAGTGTTCCATCCAATGTTCCCTCTAAGCTGTGGAGTCCTGTGAGCAAAAATTCTACTTTGTGAGCTACTGGCATGAAAGTTGTGAGCGAGCGGTTTGGCTGCCGCATAAATTAGTTTGCTCTGGAGCCCTCCTTCCTGAGCGAAGACAAAAATTTGTGAGCCGGAGGCTAAAAAACTGTGAGCTAGCTCACACTTACTCAGCTTAGAGGGAACACTGGTTCCATCTATACTTCGTGGCTAATAGCCACTGCTGGACCTCTGCTCCATATCCATTCTTCAAAACAGAGACCTGGATGACTTGTACAAACTAAAGGCTGACCTTGTGGGGTGTCTGATTCTTCCTGTTCCTTTTTGTCGTTGTTTCCTTAGAATCGGGGGCACGCTCCCTATCGTCTTTGCCTATTTTTCTGAATTCTTGTCCCGTGAGAAGAGAGGGGAACACCTGAGCTGGCTGTGCATGTTCTGGATGATCGGCGGTCTTTACGCCTCTGTCATGGCCTGGAGCATCATTCCACATTACGGTAACTGTTTCCAGATCCATGTGCAACCATCACACTGTGCCATCTTTTTCGTTTAAAAATGCAGCCTCTCCCCCCCTTCCGGGTCATGCCAGCAAGTTCAGCTGGTGGGGTGGAGTGGGGTGTATGGGTGGTTCGTGGGTGGAGAATCTACCAGTCAGGTTGAGTCAGGTGGGATCTGGTGTCCCGTAGGTGTTAAGTCCCCCAGTACTGTTTTCACAGGTTGGACCAGTAAAATACTGGTTGGCAGTCCTTCTTCATACTCTACCTGCCCTTGTGCCCTCCAGAGCAGGCCCGTTGTCACAGTGGGGCATGTTGGGGCCCTGCCACCTTAGTTAAAAGTCCTGCCCCACAAATAGCCATGCCAGAAACCTCTGCCTGTTTCCCAAAGGCTCATGGGAGTGCTTCTGAAAGACTCACTGTGACCTCGGTGGTCTACAGCAGGCAGGGGTCATTTCGTAGAAAAAGAGGTGCAGGAGCTCATTAGCATAACTCATTAGCATAACTCATTTGCATATGCCACACCCCCTGACATCACCGGAAGTGTGTCAGAAGGCAACACCCACCGCTCAGGCTCCACTGGACTGTTTTGGATTGCTAGCTATTGGGGGGGACGGGACACACGCAGATCTGTCCTCGCAGAGGAGGGAGAGCTTGTACGTGAATAAAACCTGGTCTTAAAGGTGCCACTGGACTGTTTTGGACCGGGGGTAGCTCTGCAGCTTACCTGGCTGCTTGTTGCTCTGACTGAGGGCTGCTGGGAGCAGGGAGTGGGGCTTGCTGCATGTGCCCGCCCCCTGGGCTCTTTAGTGCCGGAGCTCCGCTCCTGTGCACTCTTGTAGGAAATGACCCCTGACAGCAGGACTGGGCTAGCAGAAAAATGGGGGATTGCTGGAGATGTATTGAAGGTGCCACTCCTGAGTGCCCTTCTAAGCTTTCTTGCCCTGCAGAAGGGAACTCAAAAGGCATTTAGATGTCCTCTGAGCTGTTTTTTCCTAGGAACTGATGCGCTCATTGTCCTGTCCCTTGAGTAGAAGGGCTAGGAATGGGCTGAGAGCCGTCCCCCTTTAAAGACGGGCATTCAGATTAATTTAATGAACTGTAATTCAACTGCCTCCTTAAAAATTTAAATGCCCCCCAAACAGCAAAAAAAACCCCCCTGGCTACGGGCCTGCTCCAGAGTCAGCTGAAGTTACACAGGCAAAAATCCTATGCTAGCCTTCGCAGTCTGCGAAGAAGAGTACCGGGGGACTTTCGGAAGAGTTATAGCTCACCCAAGTGTCCTCAATGTTCGATCAGTTTTCACTGAGAAGAGGCAGAATCCTGCAGCGTATGTAGATTCGCATATCTGCATATTTTGGATGATTCTGCTTTGTTGGTCATCGTAAGGGGCAGGAAGCCGTTCAGGGCACTGGGGATCCACCAAGAATTGTACTCCGGCTTCTGAGGTTTTGCCACCAACGTTTAGATCGATCTTCATAACCCAAAGGGACTAGAAACTTGCTCCATTTAAAAACAAAACTTGCTCAATTTAAAAATGAAAGCCAGTCCCCCCCCCATGCCACTTTCAATGCTTATTGCAGAATTGTAGTAAATACAGGGGTCATTTCATAGAAAAAGAGGTGCAGGAGCTCATTAGCATAACTTATTTGCATATGCCACACCCCCTGACCTCACCGGAAGTGTGTCAGAAGGCAACACCCACCACTCAGGCTCCACTGGACTGTTTTGGTGGATTGCTAGCTATTGGGGGGGGGGAGCACAAACCTGCCCTCACAGAGGAGGGAGAGCTTGTACCTGAATAAACCTTGAAGGTGCCACTGGACTGTTTTGGATTGCTAGCTATGGGGGGGGCGTGCAGATCTGTCCTCGCAGAGGAGGGAGAGCCACTGGACTGTTTTGGGTTGCTAGCTATGGGGGGGACGTGCAGATCTGTCCTCGTAGAGGAGGGAGAGCTTGTACCTGAATAAACCTGGGTCTTAAAGGTGCCACTGGACTGTTTTGGACCGGGGGTAGCTCTGCAGCTTACCTGGCTGCTTGTTGCTCTGACTGAGGGCTGCTGGGAGCAGGGGGCGGGGCTTGTTGCATGTGCCCGCCCCCTGGGCTCTTTACTGCCGGAGCTCTGCTCCTGTGCACTCCTGCAGGAAATGACCCCTGAGTAAATACAAGTGGAGGATGCGGTGAGCAATGCTCCCTCTAAGCTGTGGAGTCTTGTAAGCAAAAATTCCACTTTGTGAGTTACTGGCATTAACACTGTGAGCGAGCGATTTGGCTACTGCAGAAATTAGTTTCCTCGGAAGCCATCCTTCCTCAGCTAAGGCGAACACGTCTGAGTCAGAGGCGAAAAAACAGTGAGCTAGGCTCACAGCAACTCAGCTTAGAGGGAACATTGGCGGTAACACCCAGAACAAACTACAGAACACTGCATTAAAAAGGCAGTCTTAATATGTTCTGTAAGCCGATATTACTTCTCATAAAATGTAATAGCTTGGTTATAGATTATAAATTTTAACTTTTTGAGGATATAATATGTAATCTCAACAACTAGTCTACTGACATAAAGAAACAATGTATAACACCAATGGGGTATTTTGGTACATTTTTCTCACAGTTCACTCTTCACAATGCACTTTTTAACAACAATCTTCTTTCACAAAGAGTTCCAAAAAGTTCTTTATAATGCAGAAACTAAGCTTTTCCTTCCAGCTTAACTGCGATCCAACAGATAGCCCCAGATATCTCCTTCCATTTCAGCTTCCTCTTTCTCAAGAATCGCTTGCATAAACATCCATCAGTTCGTACAGAACTTCGCTAAAGCTATTTAGGCGTTGACCTATACGTCTGAATGGAACGCACCCTCTTGCCGATGAAATCCTTTAGCTGGGGTTTAGCGTTCTTCACCTGGTTTGTGGGACATGGCTGAGGGCAGGGCTCTTTTTGTAGAAAAAGCCCAGCAGGAACTCATTAGCATAATAGGCCACACCTAACAGCAGGAACTCATTAGCATATTGGGCCACGCCCCTGATAGCACAGCTCATTAGCACATTAGGCCGCACCCCCATGTTACCAGAGGTGTGGTCATCCAGCCACACCCACCTTTTGCTTGTTATTCTGTTTACCTTGTTTGTTGTCAAAACCCAGGGCCTTTTTTTGTAGCAGGAACTCCTTTGCATGTTAGGCCACACCCCCCTAATGTAGCCAATCCTAATGAGTTCCTGCTGTTGGGTGTGGCCTGTTATGCTAATGAGTTCCTGCTGGGCGTGGCCAACTCGGGAGCCAGCCGGAACTCCGTTCCTGTGCATTCCAGCCCCAAAATAGCCCTGGCTGAGGGTATTGATATTTTTGCCTTTTTTTTGTGCAGAATTGTGGCATGCACAGAGTCCTGTTTTTGATTAGGGAGGTGAAGGGGCAGTGGGGCAGTGGCCGAGCTCCTCTTCTGCATTGAGGCCCCAGATTCAGTCTTTCTAGAATATCCAGTTAAATGATCTAAGGCAGCAGATACTGGGCAAGACCTTTCTCTCAACCGGAGGGCTTGGAAAACTGCTGCCAGTCAGAGGTGACAGTATTGAACCAGGTGGATTTCTGGTTGGACTCAGCATAAGGCCCTAGTTTGATCCCCAGAATCTTTAGTTAAAAAGAGGTTCTGTAAGACCACTGTCTCTGAGCCCCTGGAGAGCGGCTGCCAGTTAGAGTAGACAATCCTGAACATGATAACCCAGTGGGCTGACTCAGTATAAGAGTCAGCCCACTGGGTTATCATGGTCAGCACTGACTATGGTGTAGTGGTCAAGAGTTCCCCAGGGGTTTGATTCCCCACTCCTCCTCCACATGAAGCCAGCTGGGTGATCTTGGGTCAGTCACAGCTCTCTCAGAGCTCTCTCAGCCCCACCTGCATCACAGGTAGTCTGTTGTGGGGAGAGGAAGGGAAGGAGATTGTAAGCTGCTCCAAGACTTCTTTGGGTAGATAAGGGTGGGACAGAAAACCAATTCTTCTTGCGCTTCAGTATAAGGCGACATCATTTGCAAAATCTAAATTTGTTCTTAATTGTTGTGATCTGAAATTGCATTTTTGCAAGGCTGGAGATTGTGCAGTTACTGCAGGAGCCCTGCAGGAGCCTTTAACCTGGTTTGTTTGGACACAGGAAAGGGACATGAGAAAAGGCGCCTTTGCAGCGAGAGGCTTTGCTCAAAGTGGTATATTACCCCCATGAGAGGAGAACAGAGAGGTACTGCGTGGTTAGCAGGGTACTGAGAAAGCCTGAGGGGGTCATCAGGTAGCAATTGAGAATCTGCCCTCCCTCTGTGATGGGCCAGGAGAAATTAGTGGAGGATGCGGGCAGCCCGACTCACGTTTCTTGTTTGCAGGTTGGGGCTTCAGCATGGGAACCAACTACCACTTCCACAGCTGGAGAGTCTTTGTGATTGTCTGCTCCCTGCCTTGCATAGCCTCTCTCGTGGCACTGAAGTTTATGCCCGAAAGTCCACGTTTTTTGCTGGAGGTAAGAAGGCTTGTCAGGAAATTAAACCAACAAGCTTAAATTTCAGTGAGTATTGAAGCCTGTGAAACAAAGGAAAAAAGGAGATGTTATTGGGGGGGGGGGTTTACAGTTGTTGCTGCTACTAATGTTATTTGTTGTTTGCCGTCATTGTTACATTTCTAGACTGTCTCGCAACCAAAGATTCTCAAGGCATATAACAAAAGAGACTATAAAGCATGACACAGCAAAACAGAAAACACCATAAACCAAACACCTCTAAAATGGCACCAGAATACTAAAAGCAACCTTGCTGTTGTAAATAATTCTATAAATAGGCCTTTGGAATCACAATGGGTAAAAACTTTGTGAAAAATGAAATTTTATGCCCAATGTGAGTCTGAGGACAACTCTTCACACTAGGTGGTTGAAAGGTGGTGAAACTAGCCCTGACCTGGATAGCCCAGGCAAGCCCGATCTCATCAGATCTTGGAAGCTAAGCAGGGTTGACTCTGGTAAGTACTTGGATGGGAGACCTCCATGGAATACCAGCACTCGGGAGGTGGGGGCAGGCTTTATTCAGCCACCTCTCTGAATATCCTCCAGGCTCCCAGTAGGGGTCAGCCACCAGAGGTTGCCATGACTTCCAGGTGCACACACATACATGTACATATTTAAAAAATACATCTCTGTTCCAGGAAAAGGTTCACCTATTAAATGAGTGTGTGAGGGGTAGGTTGCTGTCAAAGTCCAGGACCTAGGCCACGAAAAGGTGGCAACTCAGCTTTCCAAACTGAGATGAACAAATATGCTGAAGGCTCTTCAGGTAGTCACCAGCCAAACTCAGAGTGCCAACTTTTATCATTGATTGCAGCAATATTGCATAGAGTGCCCTTACATGAGAATATATGAGCCCTGCTGGATCAGGCCGGTAGTCCATCCTACTGATGCTGCTTCCTGCAGATTCTTAATAAAAACAGATGAAAATGATGGGACTTGAGATCATTAAACCATATCCTTGGGGTGATATGATATTTCTGGTATCCTTTGCTTTGGTCTTTCTAGATAGGCAAGCACGATGAAGCCTGGATGATTCTCAAGCAAATCCACGACACCAACATGAGGGCCAAAGGAGAGCCAGAGAGGGTGTTCACGGTAAGCCCATTCCATTGCCTAGAAAGATGCCTAGGCAGACAGCCAGTACGGGGTGGTGTTTAGTGTAGCTGAACTAGGATCCGGGAGTCTGGCGTTCCCATTAGCTTGCAGGCCAAGAATAGGGGACTCACTCAGGTTCCTTCTCTTCAGTTCAGCTTTCAAAACAACTTTCATTTATTAGCAAGGAGATACAGGGATGGGACCAACTGGGTTCAGGGCTAGGGTTTGCTGTAGTGCTTAAGAGCACAGACTCTAATCTGGACAACCAGGTTGGATTCCCCACTCCTCCACATGCAGCTGCTGGGTGACCTTGGGCAAGCCACAGTTCTCTCAGAGTTCTCTCAAGAGCAGTTCTCAATGAGCTCTCTCAGCCCCACCTACCTCACAGGGTGTCTGTTGTGCAGAGGGAAAGGGAAGGAGTTTGTGAGCCGCTTTGAGACTCCAAGTGAAGGGCAGTGCATAAATCCAACTCTTCTTCTTCTTTTTCCTCTTCCTCTTCTTCTTCTTCTTCTTAACAGAACTCAGCAGAGATTCCACCCCATGAGAGTAGGTTCTTGGTATGCATGGATGTAACATCTGGAAAGGGCTAAAACGGCACAAAAATGGTTTCACATCGCACAAGAGAGAAGGAAAATTAAAACGGCAATGGTTAAATTGAACTAGAAAGAGTATTACATTCTATAGCGTTGAGAGCTGAACATTTTGGCTTGGTTTTGCTTCTTTCAGGTAGCCAACATAAAAACTCCCAAGCAGATAGATGAGTTTATCGAAATCCAGAGCTCCACTGGGACGTGGTACCAGCGGTCGTTGGTCAGATTCACGACCACCTTCAAACAGGTATGGAACCCAGTCTGGGATTATATGCCCACCATGTCCATTTTATGCACACTTCCCAAAACAGAATCTTGGGAGAGTACTTGGACCACCCCGCTGATTTATCAGCAAACAAAACATTTGGGTGTTGTTTTTTTTGGGGGGGGGGACAGATTATGAACCCATTAAATATTTCTTAGTCTATTATTCACTTGTCTTTTTACCTGGTGTTTGATGAAATGTAAGTACATTGGCATACCACCTAAGCCTCAGTATTAGATTTACTGAAGGAAACACAAGATAACTCGGGAACTAGTATAAGACGAGTTGTCGTTAAAAAGGGTACACAATGGATTTTCTCAATTGGGCAAATTTATTCATTTGTTTATAAACATTTTTATGCTGCCTTTACACCCTATCAGGGTCCACAAGGTGCCGAACATAAAAAAAAACATTAAAACATTTAAACAATTAAAAATACAGGGTGGTATAGTGGTTAAGTGTGTTGGATGAGTACCTGGGAGACCCTGGTTGCGCACTGTTGCCATGGGAGTTGGCTGGATGACCTTGGGCTAGTCATGCACTCTCAGCCTGACTTACTTCACAGGGTTGTTGTGAGGATAAAATGGAGGACAGGAAATTGACGTCAGCTGCTTTTCATCCCATTGGGGATGAAGGTGGGAGACAAATAAAATCAATAATAAAATTATGAACCAATTCAATTAAAAACACATAAGCAACCACACTAGAAGGAAGGCTGATTTCAGGGGCAGTTCAGGTTAGGGAAAACGGTGTGCAGGGTGGGGGAGGCTGAAGCCATGCAACATGGCCACAAAATGAACTGAGTTCTGCACACATGGGAATGGGGGTGAACCCGCAAGTTATGTGTGACAGAACGACAGAGCCGGGAACCCAGACCCAGCCTGTGAACTCCATTAATGTGTGAATCAGTCTGAATGAAGTTGAATGACATGGACTGTCTCTAAATTGTTTTGTGTTCTCAGTCTCTTTGAAACGAATATGGTGTTTCTTCTGGGCCTCATTTCCACATACGAGTACTTTCTTCCTCAAACAAGGGATGGTATTCGAAAAGAGCAAGAGTCCAGTAGCGCCTTCAAGACTAACAACATCTGTGGCAGGGTGTGAGCTTTTGTGAGTCACTGTGTGAGTGCTCGCGCAGTGACTCACGAAAACTCCTCCCCTGCCACATATTCTGTTAGTCTTGAAGGTGCTACTGGACTCTTGCTCTTTTCTACTGCTACAGACAGACTAAAACGGCGACCCGTCTTGATCTGTCTCCAAGGGATGTTACTGAGAGCCATCAACTGTGTCCAAAGTCAATCTTAGGATTTTGCCATAATCGATCTTCTGGGCTTTTCAGGTTTTGGACAACCTCCTGTATTGTCTGACAGCCCAGTATCGAATGAACACTCTGTTTCTGGCCATCGTGTGGTTTACCATGGCTTTAAGGTATGTTTGTTAGTTAGTTTATTTCATTACATTTATGAATCGCCTAATCCCCACAAATGTGGGGCTCTAGGCGATGGACAAATTTAAAACGACCGAAGCCATAAAACCATACCCAACATATAATACGCAGTTAAAACGAGTGGTGAATTTATGTTTTGTAGTTTCCTCCCATTCCTTGTGAATTTATGTTTTGTAGTTTCCTCCCATTCCTGGTTTGTGAGTACTTCATGGGCACGGGGAGGGATAGGAGATTCAGGTTGGGTAGAGTACCAAGGCAAGTGTGGACAATCACAACCTAATCAGAGAACAAATGTAAAGAAAACGGTCCGTGAGAGTCTGACCCACAGATCAAGCAGTCAACAAGACTCGCAAAGAAGATGCTTTCTGCATATTACGGTCAACAAGCACTACAACACAATAAACAAATTTCTTCAAATCATAAGAAAACCCTAGTGTGAAAATACATCATCAATGTCGTCTCCGGATCATACAACCACGTTTCAAAATGAGATCTTCCTCAGGAAATGGTAGAGTAGTACAAAAGCACTCTAGCTCATAAAGTGCTTTACAAAAAGTCATGAAAGATAATACATTCAGATAGGGCACTGATCTCAATAAGTATTCAGGCGCAAACATGCTGCTAAGCTTCTAACGGATCCCAGGCGGAGACGGCGTTGATGATGTCTTTTCACACTAGGGTTTTCTTATGATTTGAAGGAATTTGTTTATTGTGTTGTAGTGCTTGTTGACCATAATATACAGAGCGCAGTAAACAATGACCAAGGAAAACCAACAAATAACAACTGTGCACAGAAAAAACCCGCACAAGAGCTATAAAAAGAGACTTCAACACAATAAGTAATTCAATACATGTAATCCATCATAGGAAAATACCAAAGGGAAAGAACAAAGTCCAGAATAACAATATCTCAAAACAATCAAGTCTGGAATAGATGTCCACAATGAAGTCTGGCTTGTAGTTCCTGAGGAAGGACCTGAAGTCCAAAACACTAATCAATACCTAGGAAAAGTGTTGGACATCTATTCCAGACTTCATTGTGGACATCTATTCCAGACTTGATTGTTTTGAGAGATTGTTATTCTGGACTTTGTTCTTTCCCTTTGGTATTTTCCTATGATGGATTCCATGTATTGAATTACTTATTGTGTTGAAGTCTCTTTTTATAGCTCTTGTGCGGGGTTTTTCTGTGCACAGTTGTTATTTATTGGTTTTCCTTGGTCATAATATACAGAGAGCATCTTCTTTGCAAGTCTTGTTGACTGCTTGATCTGAGGGTAGAGTACCAGCCATGACACAGACCGTCGCGGTCCTCAACCAAACACCAAATGTGGCATGAGATGTCCAAAAATTGGTTGTTCTCTCAGGGCCAGGGCCAGGTTTTGGGGACCCCCAGGCAGAGAGTTCCCGGGCACCCTTCCCCTTCTCTACCCACCACTAGGAGCTCAAGCCTTCTTTCTCTCCCATCCCTTGTCTGCACACATCTGCCTGCAGACCTTTCACCGGTGGTGCCGGGCAGCGTGTGGCTGGTGGAGTGCTTAGCAAGTGAGTGGGCCGAGGGAGCTGGCGACAGCAGGACCTACCACTGTTCAAAGTGGTTTCAGCTAAACATGAGGAAGAACGTCCTGGCCATTAGAGCAGTTCCTCAGGGGAAGAAGCTACCTCAGAGGTGGTGGGCTCTCCTCCTCTGGAGATTTTTAAGCAGGTGTTAGAAGGCCATAAGAACAGATGAAGAGCCCTGCTGGATCAGACCAGTGGTCCATCTAGCCCAGCATCCCATCTCACACAGTGGCCAACCAGATCCTCTGGAGGGCCAAGAACAGGGCATAGAGATCGAGGCCATCCCCTGGTAAGAACATCAGAAGAGCCCTGCTGAATCAGACCAGTGGTCCATCTAGTACAGCATCCTGTCTCACATGGTGGCCAACCAGTTCCTCTGGAGGACCAACAACAAGGCATAGAGGCCAAGACCTTAATAAGAACATCAGAAGACCCCTGTTGGATCAGACCAGTGGTCCATCTAGTCCAGCATCCTGGCCAACACACTGGCCAACCAGTTCCTCTGGAGGTCCAGCAACTAGGCACAGAGGCCAAGGCCTTCATAAGAAAATAAGAGCCCTGCTGGATCAGACCAGTGGTCCATCTAGCCCAGCATCCCATCTCACACAGTGGCCAACCAGGTCCTCTGGAGGGCCAAGAACAGGGCATAAAGGTCGAGGCCATCCCCTGGTAAGAACATCATAAGAGCCCTGCTGAATCAGACCAGTGGCCCATCTAGTCCAGCATCCTGCCTCACACAGTGGCCAACCAGTTCCTCTGAAGGCCCAACAACAGGGCATAGAGGCCAAGACCTTCATAAGAACATCAGAAGAGCCCTGTTGGATCAGACCAGTGGTCCATCTAGTACAGCATCCTGTCTCACATGATGGTGACCAGTTCCTCTGAAGGCCTAACAACAGGGCATAGAGGCCAAGACCTTCATAAGAACATCAGAAGAGCCCTGTTGGATCAGACCAGTGGTCCATCTAGTCCAGCATCCCGTCTCACATGGTGGCCAAACAGTTCCTCTGGAGGGCCAACAACAAGGCATAGAGACCGAGGCCTCCATAACAACATAAGCGGAGCCCTGCTGGATCAGAGCACTGAGATTCCATCTAGTCCAGCATCCTGTGCAACAGTTAAAGCATCAGACAAGCATTTAAAAACATCAGAAGAGCCCTGCCGGATGAGACCAGTGGTCCATCTAGTCCAGCATCCTGTCTCACAGAGTGGACAACCAGGTCCTCTGGAGGGCCAACAACAGGGCAGAGAGACCGAAGCCTTCCCCTGATAAGAACATCAGAAGAGCCCTGTTGGATCAGACCAGTGAGATTCCACCTAGTCCAGCATCCCGTCTCACACAGAGGCCAACCAGTTCCTCTGGAGGGCCAACAGCAGGACATAGAGGCCGAGGCCTTCCCCTGATGTTGCCTCCTGGTTCTGGGATTCAGGGGTTGACTGCCCTATGAATGTGGAGGTTCCCCTCAGTCTCCATGGCTGGTAGCCATTGATAGACTAATCCTCCATGAATCTATCTAATCCCCTTTGAAAGCTGTCTATTCCTGTGGCCATCACAACATCCTCTGGCAGCCAATTCCACATTTTAATCACTCTCTGTGTAAAGTAGAAACTGACACCAGTGCTGATTCTGTGACTCACTATGAATTTAGGCAGATCGCGAGGAGGGCAGGGAGGGAGTAGCTTGTGCTTGGCTTTCGTCACCTTTTCTTATATGCCCAGGGTAATGCTGATCTCCATTTTGGGCTCGGGAAGGAATGGCCCTTCAGGCCTAATAACCAGCTTCCGTTTCTTATATGGTAGTCATAAAATACTTTTGAGATTCCAAAGGAAGGACCAGAGATCCCTTAAGAAGGGCCAAAAATCCCTCCTGCCCCCCACTCCAGTGCATCCTCTTCTGTTTCTTCTGCAGTTACTATGGCCTTATCGTCTGGTTCCCGGACATGATACGGTATTACCAGGAAGAGGCGTATAAATCCCGCGAGAAAAACTTCCATAACGAGGAAGTGAAGCACTTCACCTTCAACTTCACCCTGGAGAACCAGGTGCACAAGAACGGGACGTACTTCAATGACAAGTGAGTGCTTCTACCTGACTACAGCTTTGCGTGCAACCTTGAGCCAATATGCATATATGTGAGTGGTGGCTCATAGCTACTCATCACGCACTAATCCCAGTTGTGACAGCTTCTTTCATTCCACAGCGTGCATTTTGGAGCTCCAGAAAGTGCTCCAGATGGCGAGAGGTCAGCCAGCGACTGGCTTTTATGCAGGGGTCATTTCGTAGAAAAGGAGGTACAGGAGCTCATTAGCACAACTTATTAGCATAACTTATTTGCATATGCCACACCCCCTGACATCACCGGAAGTGTGTCAGTAGGCAGCACCCACCGCTTAGGCTCCACTGGGCTGTTTTGGATTGCTAGCTGTTGGGGGGGGGGGAGATGTGCAGATCTGTCCTCGCAGAGGATGGAGAGCTTGTGCCTGAATAAAACTTGGTCTTAAAGGTGCCACTGGACTGTTCTGGGCCGGGGTGGGGGGCCTCTACAACTTACCTGTCTGCTTCTTGCTCTGGCTGAGGGCTGCTGGGAGCAGGGGGTGGAGCTTGTTGTATGTGCCCGCCCCCTGGGCTCTTTACTGCCGGAGCTCCGCTCCTGTGCGCTCCCGCAGGAAATGACCCCATGGTCACTCAGCTGCCTTCATGTGGAAGAGTGTGGAATCGAACCAGCTTGGTGTTGTGGTTAAGAGCGGCGGACTCTGATCTGGAGAGCCAGGATTGATTCCCCACTCCTCCACATACAGCCAGCTGGGTGACCTTGGGTCAGTCGCAGTTCTTTCAGAGCTATTCTCTCAAGAGCAGTTCTCTTAGAGCTCTCTCAGCCCTACCCACCTCACAAGGTGTCTGTTGTGGGGAGGGGAAGGCAAAGGAGATTGGAAGCCACTCTGAGACTGTACACCACATGCACATGGTCTACAGTGCGTTCAAAAGCCTGTGAAATGCAGGTATTATACCCCTGGGTACGGGGGTGTGGGTGGAGTCAGCAACCACACGTAGATCCTTCTGATATGCACGTCTGCTCTCTTGTCTGAACTGGGGAAATGGGTGCATGCTACTTGTGCATGGAGCTCCAGTCTTTGTGAGCAACCAGTTGATTTTCGGGGGGGGGGGGGGGTGTGTCTGCTTTGCGTCTACTGAAGCCGTACACACTTGCAAAATGCTCGTCTTCTCAGGTTCAGACATTGCATATTGGCAACACCACCGGCAGCACATGCTCTCAATGTGCACAGTGGTCGGGCTTCTGGTAAGCATGGATGTAAAGTTCGAAAGCAAGAAATTGCTAGTAGATAAATAGGTACCACTTCGGTGGGAAGGTAACAGCGTTCCGTGCACCTTGGTGTTTAGTCATGCCGGCCACATGACCATGGAAACGTCTTCGGACAGCGCTGGCTCTTCGGCTTTGAAACGGAGAGGAGCACCGCAACCCTAGAGTTGGACTAGACTGGCTTTTGAGCAAGGGAACCTTTACCTTTTCAAAGTCTGGAAAGGACCGTATAATCGGGGGTATTTCAATGCAATGTTCGAATCTGTGAAAGATAAGAAGAAGAAGCCTGCTTGAGGGCCAATGTTGTCTTCCTTGCCCTGCAAAGCTCAGATGAACCTAGTGCAGAGGAGAAACCCAGACCTAAATGAATGATTGTTGATCAGCTCCAGGTCTTTCCATGCTGAAGGAGACCATGTGGGTCTCTTTGGGTATACTGACATCTAGTGGCTCTATGGAAGAGGCACAATCTTTGTACTGTGTTGCTGTGTGCATATTGTTTTCTGTCTGTGTGTGTGTGTGTGTGGGAGGGGTAGAAGTGCTTTCATGTCATTTCAAACTTATGGCGACCCAATGAATTAATGACCTCTAAAACAAGCTATCGTCGACTTCTTTTATTGAGTGGCTTCTTTTATTGAGTCTGTCCATCTCACATTGGGTCTTCCTCTTTCCCCCCAAACTAAAGGCAATTTGTGAACTGACCCCTGGCTTTTTCAAAGTTCTAGTTCACGTGTACCAAAGCTTCATGTGCATGCAAAATATACGCATAGGGGGAACATGTCAGAAAACATGTCGGCTGTGCTTTTGGGGAGCACTGTGGGAAATCCATGTCCAATGACAGGAAGGAAGGAAGGATGGAAGGAAGGAAGGACGGAAGGAAGGAAGGAAGGAAGGAAGGAAGATTTCAGCAGTACATAAGAACCTTAGAGAAACCATGTTGGATCAGGCCAATGGCCTATCCAGTCCAACACTCTGTGTCACACAGTGGCCAAAACCCCACTGGCCATCAGGAGGTCCACCAGTGGGGACAGAACTCCAAAAGCCCTCCCCCTATCACCCCCCAAGCACCAAGAATACAGAGCATCACTGCCCCAGCTAGACTGCTCCCTCTATACCTTGTGGCTAATAGCCATTGATGGACTTCTGCTCCAGATGTTCATCCAATCCCCTCTTGAAGCCATCTATGCTTGTAGCTGCCACCACTTCCTGTGGCAGTGAATTCCATGTGTTAATAACTCTTTGGGTGAAGAAGGACTTCCTTTTATCTTTTCTAAGCTCACATATTTCATTGAGTGCCCACGAGGTCTTGTATTGTGAGAAAGGGAGAAAAGTGCTTCTTTCTCCGCCTTCTCTGTCCCATGCATACTTGTGTAAACCTCAATCATGTCACCCCTCAATTGTCATTTCTCCAAATTAAAGAGCCCTGACCTCTTTAACCTTTTTTCATAAGGGAGGTCTTCCTTCCCCTTCATCGTTTTAACTGCCCTTCTCCAATGCTATAATATCCTTTTTGAGGTGCGGTGACCAGAACTGTACACGGTATTCCAAATGAGGCTGCACAATCGATTTATACAGAATGAAAGCATCAGTCGTTTGTGGGGCTCATCTTTTTATTTTATTTGTATTCCTGTTTTCTCTGTGCTGAATGGGAATCCTTAAACTGGACAAGTAGCAAATCTGAACAATGAGATACTGTTATTCACTAAAATACCATTAATACAAACATTACAGTGTCCTGGAAACAGCAACAAAATGTACCACATTCAATAGAGTCAAGTCCTGTAGTATCTTAGAGATGAAGGGAGCTGGAGTGGGGGGCAGGGCCAAGCAAGAGAGGAACGGAGGTGGTTTGCCATTGCCTGCCTCTGCGCAGCAACCCTGGACTTCCTTAGTGGTGTGGCCCATCCAGGGGTCATTTCCTGCAGGAGCGCACAGGAGCGGAGCTCCGGCAGTAAAGAGCCCAGGGGGCGGGCACATGCAACAAGCCCCACCCCCTGCTCCCAGCAGCCCTCAGTCAGAGCAAGAAGCAGCCAGGTAAGTTGCAGAGCTCCCCCCCCCAGTCCAAAACAGTCCAGTGGCACCTTTGAGACCACGTTTTATTCAGGTACAAGCTCTCCCTCCTCTGTGAGGGCGGATCTGCACAACTCCCCCCCTCCCAATAGCTAGCAATCCAAAACAGTCCAATGGAGCCTGAGCGGTGGGTGTTGCCTTCTGACACACTTCCGGTGATGTCAGGGGTTGTGGCATATGCAAATAAGTTATGCTTATAGCATTGGAGCCAGTTTGGTGTAGTGGTTAAGTGCGCGGACTCTAATCTGGGAGAACTGGGTTTGATTCCCCACTCCTCCACTTGCACCTGGCTGGATGACCTTGGGCAAGCCGTAGTTCTGGCACAGCTGTTCTTGAAAAAGAGCAGTTTCTGTCAGAGTTCTCTCAGCCCCACCTACCTCCCAGGGTGTCTGTTGTGGGGAGGGGAAGGGAAAGGAGTTTGTAAGCCACTCTGAGACACCTTTGGATAGTGAAGGGCGGGGTATAAATCCAATCTCCTCTTCTTCTTCTAAAGCTGAGCTGGGTTTGACAAAGGGGGCCTTTCACATCACCTACTGCCTGGTCATTTCAGTTTGGTGAAGTGCACGGACTCTAATCTGGGAGAAACGGGTTTGATTCCCCACTCTTCCACTCGCACCTGGCTGAATGACCTTGGGCAAGCCGTAGTTCTGATAAGAGCTGTTCTTGAAAAAGAGCAGTTTCTGTCAGAGCTCTCTCAGCCCCACCTACTTCCCAGGGTGTCTGTTGTGGGGAGGGGAAGGGAAAAGGAGTTCGTAAGCCGCTCTGAGACTCCTTTTGGTAGTGAAGGGTGGAGTATAAATCCAATCTCCTCTTCTTCTTCAATTCCCCACTCCTCCACATGCAGCTGCTGGTGTAACCTTGTGTCCGTCCCAAGTTCTCTCGGAGCAGTTCTTTCACGAGCAGTTCTCAAGAGAGCTCTCTCAGCCCCACCCGCCTCCCAGGGTGTCTGTTGTGGGGAGGGGAAGGGAAAGGAGTTTGTAAGACACTCTGAGACTCCTTTGGGTAGTGAAGGGCAGGGTATAAATCCAATCTCGTCTTCTTCTTCTCTAATGAGTTGTGCTAATGAGCTCCTGCACCTTTTTTTCTACAAAATGACCCCTGGGCCCATCCAAATACTAACCAGGGCTAGCCAGAACTGTCCAGGTCAGGAGGACCGTCACGTCCTCCCTGAGCCTTTTAACTGGAGATGCGGGGGATTGAACTTGGCATCTTCTGCACACAGAGCAGGTGTCCTGCATCTGAGCTATGTCCTTAATGAATAAACATCAGCTTTCTTCCAGTCGATGATGTTGGTCCTTCCAATGTTGCAGGTTCATTAAAATGAAATTCAAGGATGTGACCTTTGAGGACTCCCTGTTTGAGGAGTGCTACTTCGAAGATGTGACCTCCAGCGAGACCTTCTTCAAAGAGTGCACCTTCATCTCCACCATCTTTTATAACACGGGTAGGTGGGAAGAGCATGTGTGCGCGTGTGCTTGCACAATTGACGTGTTTTCATTCATTCATTCATTTATTTATTTGAACTTTTACCCTGCCCTCCCAGCCAAATCTGGCTCAGGGCACTTACAAAAACAGATAATTACATTATTATTATTATTATTATTATTATTATTATTATTATTATTATTATTATTATTATTATTATTATTATTATTATTAATCATCACGGGGATTTTTGTTCAGCTGTAGACTAGACATGTTCCAGACGGCATTTTTCACTCGGCTTGGCTTGATGACGTTAGCTTTCTCCAGGTCTGAGTCGAGTCGCGACGCTGCACTGCCACCGCCTGGCCGGAACGGCCCATTACAGGCTTCTCGATGCCGAAGAGCATAAGTTACGATTCAAACAGTTCTAAAACCATGATAAAGTGCTGGTGATCGTTGTTATCCATAAATGGTAGCTGCCATCATTCACAGTTCTCAGCTCGCCATCAGCTCACAGTATTCATTTTGGTTGTTCCTGCAGTACTTGCTGTTCTTTAGGCTGTTGGTGGCAGTTTCCAGAATCTAGGGCCTTCTCCCATTCAACCATCCGATGTTCTTCATTGGTGGTGGCAGTGGCTCCCAAAAGCCTGGTGGAAGAGCTGAGACTTTTGTGCAAAAGTGGAATTTTGAATCGCCCCAGCCCGGAGTACATAGAGCTCTGGGCGATTTACAATAACTGAATAGACAAAAATACAGTTTAAAATCAACCATCCGTTCATCCCAAAGTTTCACAGTCTTCCGATGGCGTTTATAATTTGATCCGAAACCTGCTCTGGACTGTTCTTCCATCTCATGGGCAGGTTAAGGAGGAGGCCGAAGCGGACAAGATGGAAAAAGGGAAAAGAAGAGAAGAGGAGGGTGCCGGCTATGATGGAAACCGTCACTGCCCTCAGCCAAAAGCTTGGCGGAACAGCTCTGCTTTTCAGGCCCTGCAAAATTGCATTAAGTCCCACAGGGCCCTGATGGGAGTTGGCAGAGAGTTCCGCCAGAACGGAGCCAGAGCTAAGAAGGCCCTGCCTCTGGTTGAAGACAGCCGGATGTCTTTGGGGCCAGGGATTGCCAGCAGATTACTCTCAGCAGAGCGTAATGCTCTCCTAGGGACATACCAGAGGAGACAGTGCTGAAGATACACCGGTTCCAGACCGCTCAAGGCCTTAAAGGTCAATACCAACACCTTGAATCTGACTCGGTACTCCACTGTGAAGCTGTTGTTCTGGATACTGAGGAACGTATGGGCCCCTGGTCTTTATTTACCAGAGAGGTTCTCAATTTCCTGGTACCTGTCCCTGGGCGCCCATTTTGTGCCCGTACCTAAACATTTCGTTAATATGAAATTCTACAGTTGTCATTCTTCAAGGCTGGGTGTCTAGATATTAAATCTCTCTGGGTGTAGGATGGAGGAGGAGTGTGGAATCAAACCCGATCCTCCAGATTAGAGTCCGCCGCTCTAACCACTACACCGAACTGGCTCTCAGTGATATAGAGGCTCAGGAAATGCTCCGGGGTGGAAGAATAACAGTGCAGTCCTAAACAAAGTTATACCTTTCTAAACCCATCAAAGTCAATGGGCTTAGAAGGGTATAGCTCTGTTTAGGATTGCACTGTAGGAAATACTTGGTGGAGAAGAGTGTCTTGGCAAGACCTTAGGATACTCTAGAGCAGGGGTCTCCAATCTTGTTGAGCTCGTAAGGCACTTTTGGACTTTGGAGAGCAGGTATTGGGCGCCATCACAAAATAGTTGTCAGGTGTGGAGGAACCAGGGGAGAGGAGTCACAAAATGTTAAGAGGTTCAAAACCAAGTGGCATTCTATGTGATACCTCTTGATCGCGTCTTTATAATCCACCCGGCATTCGTGCCGCTCCTGCGGCAACTTCTGCGTCTGATCGGAGCCATGAAGTTTTATTTATTTCCTGTCAAACAAAAGGTTTAAATCTACGGGCGACACAACACTCTAAAGCCATTCAGGGGAAAACAAGAAAACTAGCTGAACTATCTAACGCATTTTCAAGACCTGCATTAGATGGCACAGACCTTAAGTCCAAAAACCAGAGGCTCTAGCTTATGTGTTCTCTGCATTGCTGTCTATTGCTGCCTGGAGACCAAGCCCTGTGAGGAAAGGCTGAGGGACTTGGGAATGTCCAGTCTGGAGAAGAGGAGGTTGAGGGGGGGACCGGGTGGCTCTCTTGAAGTATCTGAAGGTCTGTCACTTAGAGGAGGGCAGGGAGCCATTCCTGTGGGCAGCAGAGGAGAGGACTCACAAGAATGGGTTTAAATTAAGGGCGGGAAGGTACTGGCTGGATATTAGGAAACACTTCAGTTGTTCAGCAGTGGAATCCGCTGCCTAGGGAGGTGGTGAGCTCCCCCTCACTGGCAGTCTTTAAGCATCAGCTGGACAAACACTTGTCAGGGATGCTCTAGGCCAGTGGTGGCGAACCTTTTAGAGACCGAGTGCCCAAACTGCGACCCAAAACCCACTTATTGATCGCAAAGTGCCAACACGGCAATTTAACCTGAATACTGAGGTTTTACTTTAGAAAAAACCACTCATACATTAACTTAAGATGATCCAAACAAAGTAAGGAAAGCAATCCCAAATGCTTGCATTTACTTAAAATTATTTGGCAGAGAATCCGACACTTTAATGATGGTCTGGGCCTGGCTGGGGCGATGGCACGTGTGCCCACAGAGAGGGCTCTGAGTGCCACCTCTGGCCCCCGTGCCATAGGTTCGCCACCACTGCCCTAGGCTGATCCTGCATTGAGCAGGGGGTTGGACTAGAGGGCTTGCATGGCCCCTTCCAACTCTGGGAATCGGGCTCTTAACGCAATTATAGTGTTTTGGCCAAGCAGCATCAGGTGTCGATGACACCCAGTCAGGACATGCTCTTGCCGGAACCCTCTAGAAAAATCACCTCATCGTGCCTGATTCCTCCCCTCTCCTCCTGTAGGTCGCGGGTTCTCATGAAACACGAACCACCCCATTTCCAGCTCTGGCCTTGAAGGCGATAAGGGCTGCGTTGGCCAAGAGACCGGTTAGCAACACCTGAAGGACAGAACAAACCCATTGCCATTCACGTTAACCTTTGAGGGGGGGCCCAGGGGTGTTTTGCCTCACAGAGATCATTTTCAGCGCCCTCACCAAGCTTATACTTCCCACGATCCTCTAGGGGAAGCCATAGCAGTTCAAGCAGTTATGGAGTCCATGTGCAGCCATAACCAGGGGTCATTTCGAAGAAAAAGAGGTGCAGGAGCTCATTAGCATAACATTTGCATATGCCACACCTCCTGCCATCACCAGAAGTGCATCAGAAGGCAACACCCACCGCTCAGGCTCCACTGGACTGTTTTGAATTGCTAGCTATTGGGGGGGGGGGGGAAACACACAGATCGGCCCTCACAGAGGAGGGAGAGCTTGTACCTGAAGGTGGGTGGGTGGGGGGCTCTGCAACTTACCTGGCTGCTTCTTGCTCCTCGTGGCCCGACTAAGGGCTGCTGGGAGCAGGGGGCATGGCTTGTTGCATGTGCCCGCCCCCTGGGCTCCTTACTGCCGGAGCTCCGCTCCTGTGCGCTCCCGCAGGAAATGACCCCTGGCCATAATATGGATATATGTGAGGAGACTCACCGGCACCCGTCTGCTGTCTCTTTCCCCCCTCAGATCTCTATGAGCATAAATTCATCGACTGCAAATTTGTCAACACCACCTTCCTGACTCAGAAGGAGGGCTGCCACCTGGATTTCGAGCAAGACAACGACTTCCTTATCTACCTGGTCAGCTTCCTGGGCAGCCTCTCGGTGCTGCCGGGGAACATCATCTCGGCACTGCTGATGGACAAAGTAGGCCGGATCAAGATGATTGGTGAGTGGGCAGCGTGAGAGCATATCGCTATGGGAGAGCAAAGAGGGGGCTGTTGATGTGGGGTGGAAATGGAGCGGCCGTCCGGGGTCTGTGCTCCATCAGAACGCATGCTGGGGGAGAGAAGAAGACGGGATTGATACCCCACCCGTTCACTACCTGAAGGAGTCTCAGAGCAACTTACAAACTCCTTTCCCTTCCCCTCCCCACAACAGACACCCTGTGAGGGAGGTGGGGCGGAGAGAGCTCTTTCGAGGGCTGCCCATGAGAGAACAGCTCTGAGAGGACTTGCGACTGACCCAAGGTCAGACCAGCAGCTGCATGTGGAGAAGGAGTGGGGAGTCAACCCTGGTTCTCCCAGATTCGAGTCCACACTCCTAACCATGACACCCAACTGGTGTTTGTGTGTCGCAAGATGGCTGCTGGATTGGACCAGAGGTCCAGCACCCCATTTCTGGTGGCCAACCAGATGTCTCATTGAAGCAAAGCATAGAGACAAGAATCTTCCCCCACTTCTACTCTTTTGGGGGTGGTATTTGTGTGTGTGTGTGTGTGTGTGTGTGTGTGTGTAGTGGTTAGGAGCAGAATAGTGAAGGGTGGCGTATAAACCCAATCTCCTCCTCCTCCTCCTCCTCATGTGTTTTTTTTTTATGTAAACTATTTATTTAAAGGATATAACAATTTTAACAAAAAGAAAATTTTTTATCAACAACATTTCAAATACATCCATTTTCTAATTTTACTCCTTCCCTCCCCCTCTGCATGGCTTCCCACAGTGCGATTTCCCTTTGTTACCCCATCTTTCCCTCTTTGTAAATTCCCTTTTTCCTTACATCCCCTTAGATAACATTTTATCATATCTCCTCCTCATGTGTTTGTTGTTCCATGGTTTCCCTTGTCATTTCTCCGTGTTTTCTCAAACCACTTTTGATGTGATTTGCAAAAAAAGTATCAAATCTTTCTGATCTCATCATTGATCTGAAGACGGGTACATGCGCACAAAAGCTTATACCTTAACGTTGTTGGTCTTAAAGGTTCCAACATGAAAGCGTATATCCAGAATTAAACGTCGGTGGTCTTAAAGGTTCCACCGGACTCAGACTTTGTACTGCTGCTTTAGACCAACACAGCCACCCACCTGAATCTATACCAAGCAGGGGTCATTTCCTGCAGGAGCGCACAGGAGCGGAGCTCCGGCAATAAAGAGACCAGGGGGCGGGCACATGGAACAAGCCCCACCCCTAGCTCCTAGCAGCCCTCAGTCAGAGCAAGAAGCAGCCAGGTAAGCTGCAGAGGCCCCCCCCGGCCCAAAACGGTCCAGTGGCTCAGATGCTGCCCCTCTAGACGTGAGGACTGCCATAGAAAGCTCATATTAATGAATCGGACCGTTGGTCCATCAAGGTCAGTATTGCCTACTCAGACTGGCAGCAACTCTCTACGGCAGGGTGTCAGACATAAGGCCCGCGGGCCGGAACCAGCCCATCCAGGGCTCTTATGGGGCCGCAAGCAACTGGTGCAAGGGAGGGAGTACTGGGGGGAGTGGGCGGAGCCATTCCATTATGGCTTCAGCCAGGGGTCATTTCCTGCAGGAGCGCACAGGAGCGGAGCTCCGGCCGTAAAGAGCCCAGGGGGCGGGCACATGCAACAAGCCCCACCCCCTGCTCCCAGCAGCCCTCAGTCAGAGCAAGAAGCAGCCAGGTAAGTTGCATAGCCACTCTGGCCCCCCGGTCCAAAACAGTCCAGTGGCACCTTTAAGACCAAGTTTTATTCAGGTCCCAGCTCTCCCTCCTCTGTGAGGGCAGATCTGCACGTCCCCCCTCCCCCAATAGCTAGCAATCCAAAACAGTCCAGTGGAGCCTGAGCGGTGGGTGTTGCCTTCTGACACGAATGAGTTATGCTAATGAGCTCCTGCACCTTTTTTCCCACGAAATGACCCCTGATAACAAGTATCATTGGCTGCTCACCGCCTTCCTGTGTCTCGCTCTGTCCGCAGGGGGTTCCATGCTGATTTCAGCAGTGTGCTGCTTCTTCCTGTTCTTTGGCAACAGTGAGTCCGCCATGATCGGCTGGCAGTGTCTTTTCTGCAGCACCAGCATCGCTGCCTGGAACGCCTTGGACGTGATCACGGTGGAGCTCTACCCCACGCATAAACGGTGACTCCTCTCAGGGGTCCCCTTGAGGGGATAGGGAATAAGGGCTGGGGGGAGGCCGAGTCTCGTTCAGGTGTGATGATGTATGGCTCTTCCTTGTGGCCTCTATAGAACGGGGTTTCCCAACCAGTGTTCTCTCTAAGCTGAGTTAGTGTGAGCTAGCTCACAGATTTTTAGCCTCCAGCTCACACATTTTTGTCTTAGCTTAGGAAGGATGGCTCCAGAGCAGACTTAATCTCTGCAGCAGCCAAATCGCTCGCTCACAACTTTAATGCCAGCAGCTCACAAAGTAGAATATTTGCTCACAAGACTCCACAGCTTAGAGGGAACATTGTTCCCAACCTGACTGAGCCTGCAGGCACCTTTTGAATTCTGACAGTGCGGCGGGCGCAGCCGAAAAATGGCTGCCGTAGGACACAGAGTCAGCCACAAAATGGCGGCCACGGCTTACCTTCAGTAACAGAGTGAAGATCCTGGTGCTGTAGTGGCAGCTGCCACCAAAGCAGCCTTTTTAAAAATCTGCGTAACAAATCAAACCATAGGATCGTAGAGTTGGAAGGGACCACTGGGGTCATCTATTCCAACCCCCTGCACAATGTAGGAAATTCACAAATACTTCCCCCCACCCCACATAAAACCATCTAAAACAATCCAGATGATGTAAAGTACCCCTACAATCGATATGGCAGAATTAATGCTAACAATATTTGGCGACGGCGGCAGCAATTGATGTCCTATTCTATTGATTTGCTCCTCGTCTGTTTCTCCTTATGTGGCCGGCTCAGGCTGTTGATGATAGTTCCAGAGGGCAGGGCTCACAATTAATTATTGGGGGGGGGCTCCTAGTTGAAGGCCTGGTGGAAGAGCTCCGTCTTGCAGGCCCTGTGAAACTGCATAAGCTCCCGCAGGGCCCTGATCTCTTCCGAGAGCTCGTTCCACCAGTATGAAGCCACCACCGAAAAGGCCCTGGCCCTAGTTATAGCCAGCCTGGCGTCTCTAAGTCATGGGAGGGTCAATCGATGTTGGGACCCTGACCACAGTGCTCTCTGGGGAACGTGTGGGGAAATGCAGTCCCTCAGGTATGTCGGCCCCTGACCATTAAGGGCTTTAAAGGTAAGAACCAGCACCTTGAAGCCGATTCGGTATGCTATTGGTAGCCAGTGCAATGCTTTCAGCACAGGCTGGATGTGTTCCCACATAGGGGGCCGGGGGGCGGGGCACATGACGAAGCCCCGCCCCCTGCTTCCGGCCGCCCTGCTTCCAGCCCTCATTCAGCCAGGAGGAGGCAGGAGAAGAGGGAGGGTAAGTTGCTTCCTCCCTGCCTCTCCCCACCCCTGCCTGCCTGGGGCCAGGGAGGGCCTTCGCGGGGCTTCCTCGCACTCCCACCGGCCTTGCAGGTCCACCGCCAGGCCCCTCATGGGGCTTGGCAGTGGAGCTGCAAGGCTGGCAGTGGCGGCCGGGACCGTTGGGGGCGGGGTGTGTGGCCTTATGACACACTTCCGGTGATGGCAGGGGGTGTGGCCTTATGGCACACTTCCGGTGATGTCAGGGGGTGTGGCATATGCTAATGAGTTATGCTAATGAGTTCCCCTAGCTCTTTTTCTACGAAACGACCCCTGATTACAGTAGTCTAGTTTCGAGGCGACCATTGCGTGGATTATTCCCAGTGGCCTCTGTGGGGGATGGGGGATGGGTATTTGGGAGGGAGAGTCAGGTTCAGAATCTTTCAGAAGCTGAAACATGAAGACTGTCAGATTATCAGCCGCGTTCGCTGTTGACTTGCATCCTCTAATTCTTCTTTGCCCCTCCGCAGAGCCACTGCCTTTGGTATCCTGAACGGTCTGTGCAAGGTTGGAGCCATCCTGGGGAATTCGATCTTCGCCTCCTTTGTGGGTATCACCAAGGTGGTCCCCATCCTCCTGGCCTCCTCCGCTCTGGTGGCGGGAGGCCTCCTCGCCCTGCGGTTGCCAGAAACCCGCGACCAGGTCCTGATGTGAGGGGCTCGAGGGGGAAATGACCATGACAGCGGCGGAAACAAAGTGCCACGAGAAGAAAGTCAACTATTTCTCCACCGATACGTCCTCTTCCGGCGCCTCGGATTTTCGGCAGCGGGGAGGAGAGGGAGAGGCAGCCCACCGTGATAATGTGACCCCCTTAGTTCTAGGACTGTTGAGCGATGCTGACGGAGCCCCCCCTCACCCACACACACACACATACACACACTCCCGAACACACGCGCGCCTCGGCTTGGCTCATTCGCTTCGAAGCTATCACTCGCAAGACGACCGAGCCCGATCTTGGCTGCCGAAAGCGTGCGAACATCTAAGGCCCAAACTGAGATCACGTGACGTCGTGATTCTGCATGTCTGTGTATTTATGTACATTTTGAAACAGTGAGGCAGGTCAGGATGCCTCCTTTTGGAGCTTGACTTGTCTCCGAGTGTTACCACTTTCTGGGTAATCAGCAGGACGAGAAGCCAAGCTCGTACTCCGCCAATCAGGTGTGGAGAAAGTTTGCAAACCACTTGTGTGTTTCGGGCGGGTAAAGCTACCCTTTTGAGCAAAGGTCAGCCACTGCCTAGATGTTTGCTGGTGGTTAGGGCTTCCATTTTGAGGTCTGACTCTCCACATGAGCCTGTTTTCCTTCTGAGGAAAGGATGCGAAGTTTCTACTGTGGATTAGACTGAAAGAAGGATGAAGGCACTTGAAGGAAGCGATTTCCTTTTGGAAAATCTTGGCCCGCGTTTGCTTTGTTTTCCTTTTTAAAACACCCTTCGGAATTAACTTTCCATTTCATTTTCAGACACTCGTTTATCATTCAAAACAGAAATGTTCGGACCGCTCATGGAGACCGCAGTCGGAACAGCATATAACGAGGGCGCAAACATTCACACGTGACAGTATTTCCAATGCATTGCTTTGGGACATTTTTCTGGAGGGAAGGTTTTTTGTGTCTCGGTCTAACTAGCTTCATTGAATGGGTATCAAACGATTTCAGAAACCAAATATGTACATATTCTGCAGTGTATATAGGGGACGACACCAGGGAGGTAGATTTGGGATCCAGTGTAGAATACAGAAACTGCAGGAATTAATTTACCAGCATTGCAGCCATATTAATTAATGACAATCTTTTGAGTTGCTGATTGATTTGGGTCTTATCTGGTGCGCTATAAAGCACAGTCAGTTTTCCTTTGGAGACCCGCCAAGTGTCGTCGTATAAACTAAAGCCATGTCCTCGCAAGGGAAAGGAATGTTTCCTATTCTGTAAAACCCAGGAACTCTTGGAGATTGTCGGGCTCTTGGTGATGCAGGTTAGACTCGCTTGCTCTCGATACAGTCTGTGCTTGGCTGCATTTTCGGGAGGCGAGGACAGAACGAACCACTTCTCTCTCTCTTTTTTGCGTGGGAGCACAGAGGACATGAAATATCAGTGCCGTTGGCAGGTGGCGTCAAGAGCGCTCAGATGCTCGTGGGTAGCGCAAAAGACATTTGAGCTGCTCTGCTTGGCAATTTTGCCAGCGGGGCCATGCGAGCGTCAAAGAAGGAGAGATGGGAAGGATCTTCCTGGACGCTTTTAAGAATGTCTGTTCCACCGGGGACATGAAGACAGTCCTTTGACTCTGGACAGAGAAGTGATTCGAAGTGAGTTGGGGGAAGGTTGGCTGTTAAGGATTTCCCGTCACTAAGATGATTTCATTTTTAAAAACAGCAGGAAAACGAGCCATCTGCAAGGAGCAGCCATACGGGAAAACCCCCCCCCCCATCTTGCGCTGCTATAAGCCTTCAGGCGTACACTGGCTTGGTGGGAAATCGTCTGAGAGGAATATTCCAGAACCGCATGGACTGTATTCTCTTCCCCACACTCGATGGACTTAAAAAACCTGGCTGCTTCCTTCCTCTCCTCTTTAATGATGTCAAAAAGCCATATTGTTTGTCCACTCTTAGGAAAGTGGACAGGACTGCTTCCACCCACCCACCCCAAGCCCCAAAGTTCCCCATTCCGCGACGGCACTTAACCTTTGGATATAAATAGCAGCTGATGTTCATCTTTCCCATGAGCCTCTGTGGTTACAGCATAACCTGTACAGAACAAATGTATCCAATAGCGTTTCTCTTCATCCTGAATGTTTTGATCGTTGGTTCCGGTCTGTCGTCCTGTCCCGCAATTTCTCGTGCGACCCAACCCACCGCGTCTCCCCACCCCCACTTTAAAAGTCATGTCATGCAAGGAACGTGCAATAAATGTCAGCCAACCTGATGCTCGAGAGTCGTCGCCATTAGCTGTTGACTTCCTAGGACGGACTGACATGCTTCCCTGAAATCCCTAGAGATTTGTGTGTGTGTGTGGGGGTGGCTTGGTGGGGGTGGAGTCTGGGAAGCATAGAGAGCTCAGAGGTGATGTGATGTCGCCCTAGGACTTCAGTTTCTCCTAGACTCTATGGTACACCATGAAGCTCTTCCTCCAAAGCGTCCATTTCCTCCAGGAGACCTGATCTCTAGCTTAGCTCGCTACAGTCCCCACCTGGAGTTTGGCAGCCTGAAATCTTGGTCAGATAGAGCTTTTTGCAAAGAGCTGGCCAGGCCATGGCATCTTAGCAAGAGACAAGGAAAAAGAGTAGGACAGAGAGGTACTCTGAGGTCTGTTCCTAAAATCAGTCGAGAGCAACCAAGGTGGATGTAGACGGAGAGGGACAGGAAATGACATCACAGTTAGTGGGGTCAGGAAGCAGAGCAGGACTAGGGAGGGGTAGATTCGGAAGCGTGGAACCACATTATGTTGATTCGCTGCGCAAAGTCCAAAAACGACTAGGAAGTTTATAGAGAGAAAGGAAAGGAGCCTGCTCAATCGTAGGTCAAAGCAGAGAGTTAAACATGCAATCATCCAAGAAGGTATTTTTGCTGACTGTAGTGCTCAAGGAGAAGGGTGGTCACCCCCCTGGAGAGCAGGAAGGAACGGTGCCTGCAGGAGGTGCCAGGTTCAAATCCTAGCATCTGCAGCAGGTGTCCCCACCGTTTTGAAACCTGTGAGCACCTTTGGGATTTTGAGTGAGAGTGGTGAGGGCCACCCCAAAATGGCTGCCAAAGAAGGTGGAGCCGAATCAAAAATGGCTGCCTCCTGAGGCAGCCATTTTTGATTTGGCTGCACCTTCATTGGCAGCCATTTTGGGGTGACGCTCACCGCTCTCACTCAAAATGAAATACTTTCCTCCTCACATTGCCTGGGAAGAAGGAAATCCTGAGGGGGGAACGGAACCACACGCTGACTGAGGGAAGCCCAGATGCCCACAATTCCTCCTCATCCTCCAGTGGAAAGTCCTTTCATTTGAATAGCAACAGCCAATAAGGAGCTATGCTTTACAATGGCCTCATGAAAAGCTCAGTGGGCGCCAAGGGAAGTACTGGTGGGCACAACATTAGGGAACCCAGATCTTGAAGTCTCTATTCGCAAATGTAAAGTAAGACACCTTCATCTTCAGAATTCAGACAGTTACCATGAGCGACAAGGATCTGGAAGAGTTTTAAGGGCTAAGTCACAAGTTACAGGCCCTCGTGGTTGTCACAACAATTTTGGATCACAAGTGTCCTGGGCGTGATGTGCTTTCCAGGCACATCGGGCCATGAAGCTGTGGCAGGACGGGCCTGCTTCAGCCTGCAGGCCCTATTCCACTCTGCCCTCCAAAGTTTTTCCAACACCTGGAGCGGCTTTTCTTTCTCTCTCGGGCAACCCACCGCCGCCACCTGACCTTTGTAAGGAATTGCCCATTGGGAGGGTCAGGACTCCCTTCCGAGTTCTGAGGCCTTGCCTCGGTGTCTCCTGCTACTCAGCACCTGGTCACCACGGAGACAGTCTACTGTCTTGAGCACCCCAGGAGGAATAGCTTCTTGCCAGCCACCAGCCTTCCCCCCTGACGCTCCCTTTTAAAACAGCGTGTCCAAGACATTGGAGGTTTATGTGGTACAGAGAACCACTATCAGCACCCAAAGTTATAAGGTATTTATTAAAAAGAAAATGTTCGCAAGCATCCTTTTAGCACAGCACCAGATTGAGCAAGGGATTCCAAAAGAAATGGGTAAAATGCAAATCCTCTGTCCCTCCCCTCTAAACCTGCCCTGTCTGATGTTAAAATAGGACAGGCTCCGTAAGCTTAGGAAGTTACAGATCTCTACATAGTGGCAAGGACCTTGAAGCTTTCTGTAGCTGTCTGGGGTGGCACATGGTCAATGGCTGCCTCCTCCAGACCTCAGTTAAGAGTTCTGTCTGCACTGATGGTCCCAGCACCAAACAGAGCTCCTCCTTGCTCCGAGGAGCTTTTAATCTTCTTCCTTTCTTCTCCCACTGACCAGTCCTGGTCAGAGAATATTTTCTAGAAGTCTCCAGAAACTTCCTCCTTGGAGATTATTCCTGGAGCCTTTCTACTCTAAAGTCCTCCAAATTTCTGTTCCCTGATAGGAGAAGGGGGACTGTCCTGCTAGATCTATTAGCATTTGTAAGAAGAAAGCTGTAAAGCAATTGGACTGACTTCCTCCACATCCAGCCTGTTCTCTGCCCAGAGGGGAAAGAAACTTTTAAAAATCAGAGTGAAGGTTTTGCTCATTTCAAACCTCCAAAGAAAAAAGTGCATTTCTTCACAGATGCCAACAACAGCATCGAGAAGTTGCTTCGGCATTTCCTATTGCCCTGTTTTCCCAAACCTAAAATGGCCCCAGAGAGCTGTTGGGAAACTTACATATAGTTGCCATTACATGTCAGTTTCCCAATGAAACAAATTGTTCCCAGGCTATTTCAGGTCAGGAATATGGTGTGTGGTGGGGAAGGCTTCTCCCCGTGTGCTGCACCCACAATCCAAATTCTGCCCTCTTATGCCTAGGAAGAACCTCCATTTGCCGCTGAGATGCTGACAGAAAAGGCGGCTTGTCCATTTGAATTTCCGTGGGTTCCAGATACGAGAAATTCCATATCATCAGTTTCTTGACTCAGAGTGTGTCTTCAATG